CATGAAACATGGGCAGGGCACGTTCTACTTCCAGATGGCTTAAATATGAAGGTACAATAAAGTGTATGAATTGAGATGGTTGCCAACTACAGTGTGTGTGCATGGTGTCATAAAAATGTATGTTTACAGTCTTGGGACAGTTCATAAACTTTTGAAATAAAGAAACCAAACTCTTTCTGCTGGCTCTCTTTCTCTGCCAGGGTCATGGGTTGAGGACCTGAGACAGGGTCATGGTGTCTACACTTACCCCAATGGAGACACTTATGATGGGGAGTGGCTGCATCATATGAGGTATAGCTCCAGTTTTAAAATCAAAAGTGCATGTCACTCAGATGTTTGTAAAGCACACATTTCTGCAGGGCTGGAACCAAATCCTGTATTCTTAAGGTACTGACTTTAAATCCTGCCTGACATCTTAATATTAACTCACTGACACAGACAAATACACAGCATGTAATTTATCTCTGGAAATCACTGCTATGGAAAACAGAAACAGGGGTTTACTTAATTACCCAGTATGGTGGATATGTTTCTTTTCAAACAACATCTTTGTTGAAATTCTTTAGAGGTTACATGTGTTGTTAGTAACTGTTAATCACACTTTTCAACAAAATTCAGCCTTGTTTCAACATAGATGCATAGACATCTTTTTACCTGTATATTACCAGATCCATTCTAAATAAGTGTAGAAAATTTGAATTTGAAAACTACTGAACTCGTTGGTGTTGTCTGATTGGTAGACATGGCCAGGGCATTTACCACTACCACAAAACCGGCTCGAAGTACAAGGGCTCATGGGTGAAAGGCAAGATGGAGTCAGAAGGAGAGTACATCCACTCCAACCACAGATACAAGGGTAACTTTGTCAACAATAACGTAAGTTCTACTTTCTTATTACTTATTCACAAAATGCTTGGCCGATGATGAATGAAAATGTGCAATAGATTTCACTGTGGCCTGAGTAGGGCGTGCAAGGGACACTAGTACCCTCAATGGTCTGAATAATTTAACAAGATCAATCTCTGTCAGAGAACTAATAAAGCTGAGGGTTTAGTGCAGTACAGAAATGCCCCCCTTCAGAAGCTAAAAAGTTCTTTCAGAATTAAGTCATAACGACTACTCATGGAAAATTACACTTTATTACAACTTGGATTTTACTTTTGTGTCGCAGGCCACAGATTCAATCAGTTACAATGAGCAGTCTAAGTTACGATCAGTTAGCGACATTATGAATACACTCACTTTGATTTTTCTTCCGAGCTAATCTGGTTGATCTAAAACTGTTTACTTGTTTACACCCTGTCTTATCATCTCACTGCTCATGTTCCCTGCCTTGTTGGACTCATATTTAGCAATATTGCCTTGTTGCCAGATCTCAGCAATTTCTTGAGCGAGTACCATGTTATTATAACCAGTGGAAACAATCCATTCTTATTTTGTAGCCACAAGGCCCGGGGAAGTATGTGTTTGACCTCGGGTGTGAGCAGCATGGGGAATACCACCAAGCAGAGCAGGTAAAAAACATCAACACAATCCAATTGTTTCAACTGATTTGCGCTTCATTTCCTCATGATATTATGGAAAACTGGAACTCTGTCAGGAGGAAACACTGAATGAATACCAGTCATTATATGACACACATCGCAGTGACACACATTTATAACCACGACAATTCTCTTGACTGAAACTCTAGCCAGCGACTGTTGAGGAGAACAGTAAAAATATAAAAGCACAGGAGTCGCCCTACCATGGCTCCAGGGAGGGTTATCTCACCTTAGGGACCTCAGGAGGAGCAGAGGAGGTGCTGCCGCTGCCTTTATACACAACGCTGTGCCTTTTTCCAGTAGAATCTATCAGTGTCTTGCATAATGACCTTGGAGTGTGCAGTATGTCTTTTTATGCACAGGAATGCATTACTGTTGTTGAATATACTTGTATTATTGTTTATTAAAGTATTATTATTTTTCAGAATGCACACTTGCATGTTCTAAGTGCATGTTTGACTTTATATGCACTGTGATCAGTCATCTTAAGTGACTATAAAAACTTCAGGATGCATGTTAATAACCTAGGGTGTGTGGAGATGCAGGTTGCAGTGTGTGTCATGTTGAGTAAGTTTGCAGATGTTTTCGCGCTCGCCTTGCTCAACACACAGAAATGCTGCTTCTTTATAATGAACACTAAAATGGGAAAAATATGTGCATTTTGCTTGCAGTACAAGACAAAATGTGTCACCGTAGTCTGAGCATTTCTTCTCTGTACATTAAAGGTTGATGTTTTGTCTCACTCGCCCTCTGTTCTTTGCAGGACCGAGCTGAGGGGGAGTGGGGCGAGTTGGCCTCCACCGCCGTCCTCAAGTGGATTCCCAAGTGTATCACTGGCCTGACGCTGTGGACTCCAGGTAAAGACACTTCATGTGAACATCAATCCAAAATGACAGTCAGTGTCAGGCTCATAGCCAGGATTTTAGAAATACTTGTAATCCCACCCGCTTAAGATATTTTTACCAGGCACCAACAGAACTGTATACATTTTTTTGCGTGTTTAAAAAATTCATGAAAATATAAAAAAGGTTGATCCCTACATGGTCTAAATGCCGTTTCAAAACTGCCAGTTTATCTCCTCATCTTACAAATTCCCAGAAATATTGATACTCTGATTATTTTTTAAATGTATTTAAAAAACATTTCAAATCATTACAACTATTTGAGGAGAAACACTGACAAATCTAGACGTGTTACAGTGTACTAAACGGGTGGACAAAATAACCCTGCAGTAAATATGCCAATCTGCCGAAGTTCAGTGTTTGCTGTTGTTCCTGAAACATAAAAATTCATCTTCATGGCTTTTTTTTGTGACTGTAGTTTAGGAGATATAAAAATGAGTCCTCAAAGTGAGACGCATCAAAATCTGCACTGAAGTCTTTGTGTGCATGTCTGTGTGTTTTCTTTTGTCAGCAGGCAAAAAGGAAGCAGCTTCAGTGGAAGATGGGGGCGAGAACTGACCTGTCTGATCAATCCACAACACTGCATCTTATAACCTTTGTTTAAAAATAACATATGTATGAATAAATATGTAAATCAGTCCGTTAAGCTTGTATTTTCAATGTGTTTATGAAGATGGATGGTTGTGACAACTGGACATTTTCTATTGCCTTCTGTTGTTACTATAGATGTATAAAGTGTGTACCTTCATACAGTGCAGTGCCCCTCTGTGGCACTTTACAGAACAACATCATTTTCATGAGTGACAATGGACATTTTATCATAATAATGTAAAACCTCTGAAACAAAAGGAACCTTAACCCATTTACAAGTTTAAACTCAGTAGCTGCAGGGCCAGTCGCAACCTTTTTTTCCGGGCCCTAAACAGATTTTGTTTTGGGCTCTCTGGACCACCCTCCATGCAGCTCTGTAGTTTACATAAAATGCTTTTGTCTGGCAAGGACTGCCCCCCCTTATCCTTCATTCTGTTAAATGCACTCCACACAGTTTCACAATCTGCAAAATATTGGTGTGACAGAAAGAGCATAGGATGTGAAGGATCAGCCTCCTAGTTGTTGTAATTGCTCTTTTTGGTATTGTGAAACCAGACGTTCATACAATTATACTGTAAATTGATTTAATAGTTCAGGAACCTTTAATTCTATTTTATTTATAGAGCTCCCATTTATAACAAAAGGTATATCATTGCACTTTTCATATTGAGCAGGTCTAAACTGTGGAAATAATAGTAATGATAGTGATGGATATGAAAATGACAATAATAATAGGACTAATAATAAGAATAACTGTAGTTAAGTGTTTTTATTCAGCACAGGTATTGTTGGAAATTTGGTCACATCTCGCGTGTATGTAGCCATGGTATTGGGATAAATGTGGTAAATGTGGAGGTGAGATTTGCAGGAGCCGAAAACTGTTGCGAAGAACCCAAGATTAATCGGCGTCGGGGGGGGGGGGGCTTATGAAAAACGGCAAGCAGACTGTTCAAAGAGCAAGAAAGAGATGGAAGTCATAAGGACCTGGTCCATGAGAAAGATGAGGTTGTTAGCATGATGATTAACTGTGCTGCTGAGCACATCTGAGGGAAATAGCCAAGAAATTACTGGAGAGGAAGCGCAGGGGGCTGTTGAGAGGCTTTCAGGCTCTCTCAGATCCCAAATTCAGTGTTATTAAAGTAAGGGATGAGGAGTGAAGTCATTTTCTACCCTTACTTTTTTTGTGACATTGGTTGGGAATGTTTATTTTTATCCAGAAAAGGCAGTAATACAACACGTTGGATGCTAAACCGTCTTTAAAAACCCACGAAGAAAAAGTACTCCCAGGTTTGTTTATACTTATTTATTAAGGGTTTGGAGAACTCTGCTCCACACTCCAACATCGTAGGTGGCGGTAATGCACCTTAACGTTAACTTAACGTAATAAAGAAGAAGAAGAAGAAGAACTCCAACCAGAGACTGAACCCACCTGTTGTCAATGTCCGTCACCTTTACCGTTTCGGGTTCTAACAGCATTATTTGAATGATACGGAAACCGGAAGTCATTCGACTACGTTGGCGAAAGTGCTGTCATCGTGTAGGCCGGCAGAGGAAATGTTCACTGAACAGCCTGGCTGGAGTTCACCATGTGAGGAGGTTGCGCGCATACCGGTGTCTGGTTAGTGTTTCATGTACAGTCAGCTCCCTCGGCAGAGACAGCAAACGCCCTCAGGCACCAGTTAGTCCGAAGACAACATCGAGAATGGACGACTGTTCTCGACAAACGCCGATGTTTACATTCGGCGTGATAGCTGACATTCAGTACGCTGACATCGACGACGGGTACAACTACGTCCGGACCCGGAAGCGGTACTACCGGAACGGCCTCCAGCTGCTGAGAAATGCCCAGGAAAGTTGGTCGGAGTCGGCTGTCAAACCAGAGTTTATCCTCCAGTTGGGAGACATTATTGACGGCTTCAACAAGCGCCACGACGCCTCCGACCGAGCGCTGGACACCGTGCTGAGGGAGTTCAGCTGCAGCTCCGTGGAGGTGCACCATGTGTGGGGGAACCATGAGCTTTATAACTTCAGCAGGAGCTCGCTGCTGCGGTCAAAGCTCAACAGCACACCGCACTGTGACAGCACTGTGAGTGGAGCCCAGGCCGGCGGAGATATCTACTCCTACCGCTTCAGCCCGTTCCCGGGGTTCACATTTGTTATCCTGGATGCCTACGATGTGAGCCTGCTGGGCAGAGAGGAGTCCAGTGACGAGTACTGCCATGCTATGGATCTGATAAAACAATTCAACAACAACGAGGATCTCAACTGTCCCCCAGGTAGCCTTTACCAGTGGGTCCCTTGAGGGGACTCCCCAGTAAAAAGGGGAATCATTTATTTTCACTAAGTACATTCATAAGTAACACAGTGACAGGGTGTATGACTATTTTGGTCCTGGGTTTCATACACTTTCTTCAATAAAACATCTAAAAGAAAAATCCTATCAGATGGACTATCCTGAGACAAAATCTTTTTGTGGTATAATTTGTGTCAGTTTAGGGTTCCTTGGCGTAAAAAAGTTTGAGAACTACTGGCCTACTGTCCTGCTGACTTGTCGCCGTTCATTTTTACATTGTGTTATATATAATACTATATTATATTAGTTTATCATTATAGAACACAAGGTTATATAACAAAAGAAAGTTTGTAGTTCCTTCATACTACACACAGAGATCTTAACAGGTAATTAATTAAAATATGGTAACATGTAAAATTAAAACAATATTGACTACAGTTATTTATATACAGGTATACACCCTGAACATTTCACAATGCAAATAATTAATTAATAATAAAAAATATTTAAATACACACATTTTTTGTCATGTCAGTGTATCTCATGTAATGGCATGTAATTTATTAGAAACATCAAAACAATCTTAATATTAATGTTTTGTCACAGATTTTTACCTTGGTTTTAGCTGGTCATATTGCATTGATAATATTTTGATTAATTGTGTAGCCTTATTCAGTAAAAAAACCCTGAATCCAGAGCCAGAAGCTGACTTAAGCCTTGTTGTTCTATGTCTTTATGTCAGGAAAGTCTACTAAGCATGTATGATATTCTTTAGAACTGTTCTGCATTTACATTGTCGAATCAAAGTCTTTCACTGTCTGTCTGCCCCCTAAGCAGCTCTGCTGGAGCAGTTTAATGTGAAGTGCCTTTCTAAAGGACACACTGTCAATTGGCAGTAGTTCTAGAGAGGAAACTCCTTTACCCAGATTTCCCCATATAGTTTATGGATTTGGAAATGGACCTCCTTTTGTTTTGATAATTCAATTAATCTATTAATTTACATATTTTATTACACTTTAGCCATTATACAGACACCAGGGTGACTACTAATGAATGGAAAAAATAGATTATGATTTTCATATTTTGTTTTCTTGTTTCAGCGTGTGACGGCCTGCAGCAGAGGTTTACAATGTTCAACGGTGGGTTCAGTAAGGACCAGCTGAAGTGGCTAGAGTCGGTTCTGTCCTCAGCCGATGAGAAACGGGAAAAAGTCACAATTGTCAGTAAGTAAAACCTGTGGCATGTACAAAGTTCAAATGAATACGATTAGTTTTGGTACCCATAGCCCTGCACTTAAAATGAGAAGATTCTGATCTAGCTCTAAAATGATGGTAAAAGACCACCAGGTTTGTCTGACCATGTTTAACAGCATAACCCAGCTGTTCCAGTTGCTTCCAATGACTCGCAGCGTGGTCATACAGGCTTTTTTTTAGCTTCTACCATTGTGTAGTGCAGGTTATTCACATGACCCCTTTTTAACCGTGGGCTTTGAATACACTGGCCTCTCAAGGATCACTGATGTACCTGCTCCAACACATGAGCTCAGTGAACTCTTGTACAAAACAAGCTCTTATTTATGTGATTTCTGTCTGAGTTTAATCAGAAGGCTGAGGCCATAGTCTCTCCTCTGCTATGGAATCAGCAAAATGAAAGTGTCTTCTGTGGAAAAGCCTGTACTAAATTGTACTTTTAAGGTTAAGTGTGTAAGATTTAGATGCATCTAGCAGTACAACCAACTGTCTAGTCTACCGCCCCGCCCAGTCACGAAAGCCAGTCAAGAATGAAGTTTCTTTAGGTAGATATATTAAGAAATTATATTTACTTAATTATTCAGTAAAACCATGTTATTGTGACTTGGCCACTGACATGGAAAATGTAAGCCAAGAGTGTGAAACACTGTCACTGTTTCTGCACCACAGTCCATTATAAACATACACATAATAGATAAAGTTTATACACATGGCCTGCAGTCAGATTGTGGTGCTTTGGTAGCGGCCAAAAAATAAATGAATACTTTGATAGCATGCTGAAATAGATCTCTGTCGTGGCAGCAACAATTACTCATATAATCACTTCTTCTTAGTGGTTTTGTCTGCAAAATAAAGGCGCGAGAACGTCTGCTTTATTTCAAGTTTGTATTGAGAGCTTTTACTTTGAAAAATTCTAAACAACATTAAAAGAGTCTGTAGCCTGCTTGACACACCTCTGAAAGAGCCGCCAGAAAACGTGATTCCCCTAAATGTCCTCTGCCTGGAGATACTGGGGAAATGAAAAGAAGTGTCTGTAGCACCAGAACACACACACGGCAGCACATGTTTTATTGTGAGCATGTGGAACAGTCATAACATAATTAACTTGTTAGAGTCAAAATAAAATTCTTGTGGAATCGAACACACAACGTTCTAGGTGAGAGTCTTGCGCTTTACCAACTGAGCTAACCAAACACTGTAACATTTAGTGTAGTTTAGATATAATGCTTTATGTTCTCACCCACCATCTAATGTAAAAAAGAATTTGCTCAGATGCAAAACTTATGTGCAGACCCCTGCTGTATATTATTATTACTTCTTCGAATGTACGTAATTCAACTTAGTAATGAGTGTCTACACTGCCAGAATTCTACACGAAGAACATAGTGACAAAATGGCCCTGTAGAGCAGTTTGTCTGTTTTGGGCTACTGTAGAAAAATGGCGGCACAACATGGCAACGTCCATGTAAGGGGGACCCACAGTTATGTAGATAGAAATGCAGTGGCGGTTCTAATTTTATTGAGGGGGCCAGACTGGGGCCAGTTATTTTGAGGGGCATATTCAATCCGGGGAAAAAAGAGACAAAGGAAATGTTCAAGCTTTCAAAATGTCTTGTTTAGTACATGATGAAATGTTTTAGTAGGTTTCAATAACTTAGTTATTTGTTTCACTAACAGGATCTTTTCATTAACTCAGCTATAGTTTTATTAAATGACATTATACAAAAAAACCCATTCCTGTTAACTTTAGCTCAAGTTACAGTACATTGTTTGATGCAACACGTCTTTGTAGGGCTTAATGAACAGTATAAGCTCTTTTGGACTAGACATTCTCTGGATCCCAGTTTGTATTTTGTATCCCACTATAACTTTTGCTAGGAAACAACAAACGTCTCCATATTCACCTCTTTTATTAGTCCTGATGTGAAATATAGTAGGCCTCACTGGCCCCTGTTGCCCCCCATTTATCAGATCTCATGTATGCAGTAGGACCTCCCATCACCTGTCAACAGAGTTCAATGTAACATATGTTGGGTTTTTCATCTGCTGTCCTCTTGCCCAGGTCACCTCCCTGTACACCCCCACTCCACAGACCCTATGTGCCTCGCCTGGAACTTCGATGAGCTCCTGGCCATCATACGGTCCCACAGCAGTGTGGTGTGTTTCATGGCTGGACACGACCACGACGGCGGATACTGCCGGGACAAAGACACGGGAGTGCACCACCTCACATTAGAGGGCGTGATTGAGACTCCGCCTGAAGGCAATGCCTT